CTAGAAGACGTCTCCTCCGCCGACCTGGTCGGCCGTAGCGTCCTCTTCATGCTCCCTGGTCTCCTGGTCCTCAGGGATGGCCTTGCTAACGAGGTTGCGGTTTGACTTAGTCCTTCCCATGATCAGTGGTTAGCTGTGCTTGGTAGCGACGAAGGGTGCTAACTTGATTGTTCTAGCTCTCAATGAAAGCACCAAATGATAGAGCATATATCTAGAGAGAAGTGAAAGCTAGAGAGAGAAGTGCAAGTGATGATTCAATAGAATGATTTGTCACCCCTATAACTACCTCCAGAGGAAGTATTTATAGGAAAAATACGGGCTGGGCTCCCAAGTTTTGGGCTTGGGAGGCCCATTTACAACTGGACCGCTATTGGGCCGAATACAGAGCCACTGGTGGGCTATATAAATGAATAAGTGTAAAATCCGGTTCTGCGAGACTTTCGTGGCCGACGAGGGTCTTGGCCGACGAGGGCACGACCGATGAGGGCACGGCCGACGAGGACACCCTGGTTCCTTGGCTTTAGGATCATATTCTGAGTTGGTCCTTCTTCGGCCGACGAGGGTCTTTGGCCGACGAGAGCACCGCGTAGTGACTGTGCTTTCTGTTCTGAGTATGTGGGTCCTGGGGCCTAGACCCATATACTCCATCACAATTATATTACTCTGTATTATTTAGTTTTGAACTGATTTTTTTTATGAACCATGTATACAAATTTCCGAAGAATGTTAATATCCAATTTTCCGATGACTCTTAAACTTCATTTTTTCGTTAACAAAGCAGTCGAAAGTGTTGTATTGTTTCTCACTTTGTATTACACAAAAGTTACTTCTTTTCAATACACCAAAAATTGTTGTAAATACACAGAAGTATAAGAAGGTGTACATCAATAATTGTTGTAAATACACCTTACTCTTTTAAGTTGCTTCTCGATCAATGAACATAATGTTAAAAAACGGGATCGAAAACGGGAACAATCGGTCGCATTTTGAAAAAGTGAGCCCTACATCCGATTCCCTTAAGCGTCCCAGCCTTGCTAGTCTCGGTTTTGGCAAAGAACTGGAAAGTCAATTTCAATCCGGGACATTATCCACCTCTATTTCTAACTATGAAAACCATAAATGTTGAGCTTGTTAGTGACACCGAAGCAGGCTAAAATGGCTAATCATAGAAAAATATTTAGAATATATTTTGTTGATAAAGTAAAGAAACAACTTAGGAAAAGTAGCTAAAATGATCAATAGTACTCCCTTCGTCCCAATTTGTTTTGCAAAATTTCCTATTTTGGTTGTCCCAAAATGGTTTTCCACTTTCTATTTGAGGTATGTAAATAAGAATAAAGTTACAAATTTACCCTTATTTTTACTTTTTCACCATTAACCTAAAGGTATCTACTTTTAGAAAGATCGGCAAAAGTGTAAAAAGCAATCATCATTTATTATCATTCCTTAATCCTTGTGTCGGTCAAAGTTTACAATTCAATTCAGGACGAAGGGAGTAATTTCGATCAATTCAGTCAAAAAAGTAATTTCAACCTTATATATTTTGAAGATTATACAAATTCAGTGCGTAAAATTGAAACCTAAATACTCTTCATCTCACTAAACTTTACCGATTTTCATTTTTATGTATCCCAAAAATTGTCAATTTTTATGTATCCCAAAAATTGTAAAATAATTTTTATTTTGCTTGTTTCGCTCTCCTCAGTAGAATTTTTAACTACACATTTTTTACTTTTATTATTTTCGTATTTATAACATATCACAAACTTAGTGATTTACAATGAGACCGAGATAATATTTGAAAGATTAAAAGGTGTTAAAAATGAAAATCTGGGTGGTAGGTGTTATTAATAGAGAGAGCGTTGACAAGGGGAAAAGAAAAAGTAAAGAAAAACACAAAAGATGGGAAAGAAGACGACTAGGAAGCAATAACTTGCTCGTGGTGCAGATGATGTCATGCTATCATCATTTGTGCGCCATAAAACCCCCATTTTTATAAATAACTCTTACTCCCTCCGTCCCTATATAGAAGTATCCATTCATTTTACACACATCTTAAGAAAGTGGGTTTGATTGGTACTGTTTGACACTATTTGGCACTGTTTGACACTGTTTTGCACTGTTTTGCACTGTTCTGTTTGCCAAAAAAGGAAAGGGAACTTTTATTTAGGGACGGCCAGAAAAGGAAACAGATGCTTTTATTTAGGGACGGAGGGAGTATAACTTTTTAATTTGTACCCTAAATTTTTTAAAAAGTATTCAATTATTTATGATATTTCATATGATAACATTATTAGATATAAAGTTTAAAAACAAATCTAAAGTTTTAAATGTTGAAGTTTTTAGGGCTCAATAAATTCTCGAAACACAATAAACTAATCCACATAGACTTATAAATAACTGAATATTACATGAATTCATTTTATTTATTTTAAAATTGAAAAAAGTAAATAAAAAAATAAAAAAAAATATTTTTAATTTTATAATCATTCAGAGATCAACAAAAAGTAGAATTATTTATAATAATTTAACGGGGATGTTAAAAACGATAATTTTCAAAATCTTGATTAAAAATTTACACTATTTTCATGGTGCTTAATAAGGGGGAGTGTATTTTGTTGATGATGCTTGAATGCAGAAAAAACGATATTAGCAAAATCTATACACTATTTTCATGGTGCTCAATAAAAAATTTAAACCTAAAATTTTCCCCCAATGATTTATGATTTGGCGGGTTAGAGTTTGGCATATTTATAAAACATACTCCCTCCGTCCCATAAAATAAGTCTCATTTTCCTTTTTGGGCCGTCCCAAAAAATTGTTCACATTCCCCTTTTTGGAAAGTTTTGTGTGACTAACATTCATTTACCTTTTTCTTACTCAACCACAACCATACATTTTCACTTTATTCCCACTTTCTTAAACCCCGATCCAAGTAAAAGTGGGACTAAATTTCCGGGACGGAGGGAGTACTAGGTATCATAGAAAACCCATCATTTATGTATCCCCAACCCCCTGCAATATATATGTAAACAAAGTTCTACGTCACTTCTACCTAATCGGCTATTTTTAATGCAAGCACTAAAGCACACACATAAATAAATTTGATTTTAGTGTGATCAGGTTTTTGAAAAAGAATCGAAAATAATGTAATGGAGAATGTGATACACGTTTTTATGATTTTTTGTCACTTTTAGTTCTCCGGTCATTGATACTTTTGGTACTCGACTTTTATTTTTTTCACTTTTAGTTCTTGACTATCTTCCTAGAGACACTTTTGGTACATGTCTTTGAAAAATTCCATATTTAGTCCTCCGACTATCATAAAAGTGACATTTTTTATCCTTCAACTATTATAATAATAGCATTTTTAGTCCTCCATTTATTGTATCAAAATCATAGTGGAAGAACTAAATGTGAGAAACTTTGAAGTCAAGGACTAAAAATGTCTCTAGCACAATAGTCGAGGACTAGAATTGAAAAAATAAAAAGTCGAGTACCAAAAGTGTCAATGACACAATAGTTGGGGACCAAAAATGAAAAAAACCACTCCCTCCGTCCCGCAATGAATTTTCCACTTTCCTTGTTTGGATGTCCCGGAAACAAGCAGGGGCGGACCCACTAAGGGTCCCACGGGGTCCCGGGACCCCTGCGTACTTCCAAAAAAATACCTACATATTTTATATATTTTATTTAAAATTTACTTATAAATGTATATATAACACAAAACAACTATGAATCTCAAAGAATGGAGTAGAGCAATGGAGGAAAGACTTTAAAAACCTTTACTTTTCCTTGAGGTGCAAGGATCGATTCACTCTCACTCCTATTCCTCCGTTTTTGGTTTATTATTGTAAAAGATCACAACTACATCCTTTTGCCTTTTTAAAAATTCCCAACTTTACACTTTACATAATTCAATTAATTACTAAAATTTCGATTATGATTTTCGATTATTAAGTGAAGAATTGAATAAAATAATTGGTGAATATGAAATTAATTTGACTGACAATACACATGATCAACATATTTATTTTGAATCTTTAGAAGCTTATCCGGTTTGAGAAAAATTGTTGATTTGCATCCTAATGTTCAAGATGAGGTGCGTCATAGTAGGGACTATGAAACGTTGTACTACTTTAATATTTGAAATTTTATCAATTCAAAACTTGAAAGGTAAATGAATTATCAATCCGAGACCTGAAAGAAGAAATTTATAGATATAAGACTCAAATGATGAAAATTGTCAATTTAGGACTTAAATGATTGAAGACTATCAATCTCGGACCTATATTGTCATGAATTTTTATTATTTTTATGTTAAGATTTTTAAATATTACTTAGTTTTATTAAACTAATAAACTTTTGTGGAAAAAAGTTTATAAAAAATTAGCAAAGGAATTAATAAAAAATAAATAAATCAAAATCTATGAAATCTTAGATCCTAAATTGACAATTTTCATCTTTCGAGTCCTATATTAATACATTTCATCTTTCGGATACCGAATTTATAATTTATCTATCTTTAAGGTTCTGAATTGATAAAAGTTCTTAATATTTTGATGATGTACATTAACTATGAAATCTTATGCTACTTTAATATTATATACTTACATTTTTTTAATTTGTTATTGGTTAGAGTTACATTAAGGTAGGGATCCCGTGACTCCGATTTTCTGGGTCCGCCACTGGAAACAAGTTCTCATTTCCTTAAATGACAAGTTAATCTACATCAAAACAGTGTCAAATAGTGCAAAACAGTGCGAAACAGTGTCGAAACAGTGCAAAACAGTGCAAAACAGTGTCGAAACAGTAAAATTTACCTTATGATAAGTTTATTTCCTTAATATGTTTGTAGGTCAAACTGTGAAGTTCAGCGTGGGAAGGAGGGAGTTTGTTTTTATTTATGGTGGTGCATAATTCCGTTCCAATAATGCAATATTTATAGTAATCATCGTTATCAACCTAATTCAACAATCAACAAAACAAATTATTGACGCCAACAATTCAACAAAGTTTCCCATTATTTGATGTCCATTCGTCTAACATTATCCGTTACATGCACGGGCAACCATTTGGTCCTTGTTTGGACACCTATTCTTTTATGGGAGATTTTTCAATTATTAGAATTCAAAACCATGAATTACTCCCCTTATGACATCATACCTATCAATTGAATTACGTCCACGGTTCTATTAGCGCTTTAAAGAGAGTAGAAACTAAGCTATTCAGAATTCTGTTGAATAGAAAGAAAGAATAGAATCACAAAATCTTTGAAAACTTTATTTTGAATCACATCATCTTGAAGATTATTTTGTTACAGATTTAAAAGGAAGCATAAACAAATCGTGGGAGCCTATTCTGGTCCGGATCAAATGATCTGGCATCAATCAAACGTACGTGTAATAATTCACCAGAAAAAACAAACATAACCGTGACTGGATTAACTGGATCTGGCTTTGAGTTTTCCGGCGAGACGAGCAAGTGCCTTGGTGGAAGACCCCTCCGGGCTGAGCACGCGGCGGGCCGCTTCTTTCAGCTCGCTCATCCTCCGACGAACTTCTTTCCCTTCCTCCCCTCCGATCAATGATTTTACAGCTTTAGCAATTTCCGCTCTCCCAACTAGCCCGTCTTCGCCCCGGTTCGGTCTCAACGCTATATGAAGATCCTCAGTTAACATGGCCGCGTTCATTCTCTGCTCGGCGTACATCGGCCAAGCGACGAAAGGGACCCCATGAACCAGACTCTCGAGGATCGAGTTCCACCCACAATGGGTCAAGAACCCTCCGATCGCCACGTGGCTCAGAATTTGGGACTGCGGGGCCCAGTCCGGGACAACCAACCCCGTCTCCTTCGTACGCTCGGTAAAACCTTCCGGCAGAAAGTCAACGGGGCTCGCCGAGCTTTGAACGTTGAAATATGCCGCGTTCGAAGTGGCGTCGTTTGGAGACTTGACTACCCAAACGAACCGCTGCCCGCTCGTCTCCAATCCCCAGGCGATTTCATCCAGTTGTTTCTGTGTGTGGGTCCCGCCGCTGCCGTAAGACACGTAAATAACTGACTCACGTGGTTGGTGGTCCAGCCACTCCAGGACCGGACACCGGTTCGTCGTACCGTTTGGTTTGCCGACCTTCGTCAACGGTCCGACCGGGAACACCGGCGGCTTTCCTGGTTCAGGTTCCTGTAAGGCTTTCAGCACGCCGGGCTCCAAATCCTCGAACGAATTCACGAGAATACCCTCCGCCATTCTGTACTGCTTCGTGTGGTGAAGGACCCATCTGTAAGCCTCGTCTTTCCGGTCCTGGACCGGGTCCAACAGATCCTCGCCGCGAACCGGAATACATCCCGGGAGCCGGATCGGCTCAGACATTTCTCTATACTCGCAGGACACCTTCCCGTCAATCTCCGGCAAGTTGAGGAAGAAGGACAAGCACAACGCCGTGGAAGGGAAAAAAATATACGGCGAAACGCCGAATTCAACGGCGACCTGAAAAGCATCCGTCCCGAATAGATCGACGACGAGAGCGACGGGTTTGGAAGTCGCGACGATCGACCGGAACGCGTCGTGGAGGGCCGGTAGGGAGCGGGTGATTTGGAGGGATATCCGAGTCTCAATCTTCACGTCTTCCGGCAAGTCGTCGAAGTTGACCGGCGGCAGAAGCGTGTACGAAATCCCGGCGGGGAGGTTTTCGAGGATTGACTTGTGGGCGGCGGAAATGGGGCCGTCGGTGGGGAGGATGAAAGTGACGGAGAAGTTGTGCTGGAGAGAGAGGCGCTTGGCGAACTCCACGAGCGGCGTGAGGTGTCCGATTCCGGGGGTGGGGACGACGAGGACGTTGGGCGCATTGGATTGAGTGTCCGCCATTTTTGTTGTTCGAGGTATTGCATAAATAAATGGAAAATATAAGTCGGTTTGAAAGCCAATATAATGGAGGAAGCACAACTTGTACTCTTGTCTTGCGTATATATAGTAGGGGTGGGCATAAAACCCTAACCGAATCGGTACCGAACCGTCTCGTAATGGTACCGAATTGAATAACGGGTATTTAAATGATTGTATAGATTTTTATCTCGTATCGAAACCGTACTATTTGAAACGGGTACGAGATCGATCCTAGATTTTGAGAACCGAAAAATACCGGACCGAACCGTTCGAAAATAATGCATTTGAATATTTTATATTTTTCTATACCAATAGATCTCTTTTCTAGACCAATAATTTTATAGCCCAAGTATGTATTCATGTGTCCCTAAGATATTTAAAACTGTGTTTATATATATTATTATTTTTTCTCTTTAGATAATTTATGTTACATTTTGGTATGTATTGAAATAATATTAAAATTTTAAAAATCATTAATGACTATTCATTTCTAGTAATGTAGTGTACATGACTTTTTGTTGTATCATGTTTGTGAAATTTTTACAACTTAATTAATATGGTTTAAATCTTAGCTCTCAAGGTTCAACTATAAATTAAATTAGAACTACGGAGTAATATTTAACCTAGAACGAAGAAGAACGTTGAAGATTTCTATTATATATAACAATTTGATGATATTCGTTTTTATATTTTCACACGAACTTAGTAAATTAAAGATGATATTTATCTCGTGTGTCATCGTTTTACTATACTTTTGCTTAGTTGTGTTGCACTTATTTGTGTGTTTGTGAATTTTAGTACTACATATGCAATTTCTTGTATTTATATCAACATTTCATGTGAGTTGGTTGGTATGATGATATCTACTAATTGCAAGATTTGTTCAAATTTTTAGCATGTGTTTGGCATTGTACCGTACCGTTTCGTACCATTCCGAAATGACATGGTACCGAACGGTTCTATTCGTGGAACCGGACCGTACCGGACCGTTAAAAACCTCACGGATACATTACGAGTTTTACCAATTTACCGGACCATTCCGGACCGCATCCATCCCTAATATATAGTAACCACATATATGGAGTACGTCAATAGTGACGTTCTCGTGTATCGTCCCAATTTACTTAGTTACTAGTTTTCAAGCCCGTGTGATGCACGGGTATTACGCGATTTAGCTAATTGTAAATTTGATTTTTTTCGTAATCATATACTATCTACTTAGTATCATTTAGAACCCGTTTGGTAACCATATTTTTTTGGGCTTATCAGCCAACTTACTCACCAAACACAGAACTTTTTATTTTCGCATGCTGAATTGTGTAATAATAAGATAACGTAACGTTAGAGTTACTTTTCTGGTTGTATTGACTGAAATCAGAAAACCATTTTAGCTATTTTTCATATAAATTTTTCCTTATTTAAATAATAAAATATATTTTATATATAGTTTTTTTACATAAATCAGCAGGATCAACCAATGCAGCTACTTCAGCCAGAACTTCATAAATTTCAGCAGAATTTGTCGATTCAGCCGATTCAGACGATTTTGGTGTTACCAAGCAGGCTCTTATGTGATGCAAAATTTAAATAAACTTGGTCTAATATAAAGTCGTTTGATAATATTAAAAACAGTCGAATCATCTGATTCTATTGTAATGAATTAAATCTAACTGATTGGGATGAATTGACGGAGTCTCTCGAATTATGAAAACATAAAATAAAATATACGTAGTACTACGTTATCATTAATAAAATAAAAATAAAAATTATATGAAAAATATTTCTTACAAATCCACTTTCAAATAGAGTATTTATCATCTACGTAGTATTAAATATTCTTACTTCACCGTAATGAGTTCATTTGTTTTTTCTAGCTTTTGGTAGCCCTCAAGGTGTGTTACTTAACCTCCGCTATTAACATTTCAATATTTAATCTCATTTCTCGTTCTCTCAATTGAGCTGGTTTAACGATCCCCACATATTGAAACCATTTTATTCAAATTATTCCAATCCCACTTTTATATTTGTTTTGATGAAGGATGGGTTTGGAGGGAAAGACTTCAGAAGGATGACATATTTATTCAAATTATTCGCATCCCACTTTTATATTTGTTTTACCAAACAACTACTTAACTCAGCCCGTGTTAGTTTGATATCTTGGCTCTTCCATAGTTGTCTATTTTGCAATGCAAAATGATGAAAATAGTGGATTGTCATATCTTAATATTCAATTTGAATATGGTTATTATATGATGAATTAATTCCACTTTAGGTCCTCCGAGTTTTGTATCATTTTCATATTTAGTCCTTGTCTTTCACTTTATCCATTTTTGGTACCTGACTATTGTTTTCTTGACCATTTGTTGTCTATTTCTGATCATTTTTACTATCGGAAAAGGACTATATATGGTGAAGAAAACAATAGTCAGGTACCAAAAATGGATAAAATGAAAGACGAGGACGAATTGTGGAATTGGTGCAAAACTCGAAGGACCATAAGTGGAATTTCTTCTTATATGATTGCAGTATACCTTTCCAGCAAATTTGATTATTTTTTTTCTTTTCTCATGTTTCAGTTATAAGAAGAGCTTGAGTGGGAAATTATGCCTCAAATGAACGTCAAGGGAGTAGACTAGTAGACTGATCCATAGACAAACATCTTATGGAATCATTTTGGGGCCAATCATAATAGTGTCCCAGCTAAAGGCCCCATCACCTGGGCCATGGTAAAGCCCAGGTCACATAGTATAAGCTACTTCGTATAAGATACATTGAACATTCATAAAAAATACTAGGTATATATATCTTAATATAGAATACTTTAACCACTAACGTGCATCCTGCATTACCAGGAGAATGGTTCATTCACAACCAGGTTGTCTATAATACGTGGAGATAAATATCCATTAGCACCATGATAGAATCTGAATACTAAGATCTGATGCATTATAGGCTTTTCTAAATTAATTAAGATTAAGACCTCTTTTTGATAATCTGATAATCTTGATGATCTGTTTGAATATATTGGCAGAAATGTTGTGTTGGAGCTCATCAGCTCTCGGATTGATCCAAGTCAGTAACGTTTTTTTGTTTGAAAATTTTCCCATCTTTGCAGTTACATATTTGACCATATATCATCACCTGTTTGAATGTCCAAATTATAGCTTCTGTCCATTTTAGTATGCTTTCATTGATCAAACTATATCTTAATTAATAAATACATCATTGCTCATTACATCATTGTTTGCCTTTTTGCCACTTATATAATTTTTATGATACATATGTGTTTCTCTAATTATGTGTTTTTAAATTTTTAGGTTTCTTGGAGTAACGGAAGAGATCAATCTTTGTCGAGAGATGAAGTGTGTGAATCTTGCGATGCATTGATGATACAAGTGTGTGATAATTTATTGTAAACTACTACTTATTAGTTTTTATAAAATTTAAAAGTTGAGGAATTCTATTGTATGCATAGTGAACTTTGGTGATGTATACCTTAGTTCTTTTAGAATTATGGTTTTGGTTTGTGATGTAAGATGGTCTTGTTGTAATTTGAATGTTTCTTATTTTATAAATAGCATATGTTTTGGTTTGAAACACCATGTTTGTAAACTTGGCCATTTGGGTAGTAGAACAAAACAAAGATAAATATTACTCTCTCTGTCCCTTAAAACTTTGTCATCTTTTCTTTTTGGGACGTCCCAAAAAACTTTGTCATTTTCTCTTTTAATCAATTATTTTGTGGTTTCTGTTATTTATCTCTCCTCTGCACAAATCTCAATCACACGGTTTTTACTTTATTATTCTCCGTGCCGGTCAACTTTGGAAAAGTTTTAAGGGACGGAGGTAGTACAGTATAAGCTTTTTTTTTTAAATATTTTTTGCTGCAAAAAAAATTAAAAAAATACTATTTGTTGCGGTTTAGAACCGCAACAATAAGTCAAAAAATTGATTTTTTAAAAATAACTATTTGCTGCGGTTTCGAACCGTAGCAATAAGTCAAAATTCGTTTTTTTAAATAGCTATTTACTGCGGTTCTGAACCACGGCAAATACGTTTTCCTACAATTAGCTGCTCCGCCAATTGCTGCGGTTCAAAACCACAGCAAACAGCTAAAAATGACCGCATCAAATAGCTATTTTTCTAGTAGTGCTGCATTCCAGCAACGTCAATAAAATACACTCAACACATTAAGTTACACACTAGTTTATTAAAACATTAATTAAATAATTATAAGTAATGTTATTTTTTCGTCAATAATTATGAAATTAAAAAAAACACATTTAGATGTTAAAAATAAAAAATAAATCGTTAATCTATTTTTTTTTCATTTTCAATTTTAATACGGAGTAAAAAATAAAATGAGTTCATGTACTATTCGATTATTTATGGAGGCCCCATGAATTAAAAAATTTGTGTTTCGTGTTTATAAAGGTTTTAATATACATGCTTATAATTGCATAATAAAACCTTTATTGTTATAACTATTAAATATTGGTGATATGGTTAGCATGACCCTTAAAATAGGCTAATACCTAAATCTGATCAATCTTATCACTATATTTCTTTCATCATAAAGACACTCACTAAATTTCTCTTGCAAATCCCGGTCAAAACTCACCATACATGCAAAACTTCAAATGCCTCCCCTTTCTGTATACTACGACTTTGGCCTTGTTTGGCAATTGACTGTCTCGACTGTGAGCTGGTTATGATAGCGGTTTGACAATAGCTGGTTATGTTAACAGTTTTAATTGGCTGATTATGTTAGCTTGTTGCAAGCAATTGTTTGGTAAATTAGTTGATTAAAAATAGTGGATTGAATGGAAAAAGACGTATAAAGACATTAATATTTATTTATAATTTTTAGGTATTGCTTATAAAAATAAAGTTAATATACTCACCCAATACAAATCATTCATGTTTTAAAAAGTTATAAAATTTCGAAAATTTACTTACACTGCTACATCACATGCCACTAATATTTCTTAAATTCAATAAATTAATATCACTAGAGGATCAAGTAGAAAAATGTATCTTATCTAGACACCACACAATTACAAAGCTATATCCACTGTTGCTTCTGTCCATGCCATAGTTGTTGGCGCCGCAGCACGCATTATCATTCACAACTACCTCCAAGCTCTAACCTTCTTCGATCTACTATATATAAGAAAGCTCATTATCCCCAATTAGATCATAATTTTGCCTTTTATCCCATGGATTAGCATATGCTATGACGGTGAATTCCATCCTAGAAATTTGTTCGCATTTCACTTCGCCACCACCCACAACGGCGGAACCTCATGCCTTGCTTGTGAGTGTTATACATCAGGGTCTCCTTGAGCATTTTCTATGCTATAGAAATAAAACAAATTACAAAAGAAATAAATCGTTTGAAAAAAAGACAACGAACACGAAGAAAACAGGGGTATATGGGATGAGGGAGGTGACATGCGTGAAATAGGGGCAAAGAAGGAAGAATGCGGAAAAGCCAATGCGAAACGCTGCCTGCCGTGGCGTTTTCATTTTCAGCTTTTTGGAACCAATAATCTAATTCAACAAGCCATTTTGAATAGTCAAAATCATTAATTGCAGTCAAAGAAGCCAAAGTTTAGTTGATAAGCCGTTTTCCAAACAAGGTCTTTAAAGGTAACTTTTTAAAATACATATACAAACACATTAAGAGCCCGTTTGATGACTATGTTTTTTGACTTATCAGGTTTATCACCTATTTTTTGCACGAAACATGAAACTTTTTATTTCGCTCGCTAAATTGTATTACCTCCGTCCCAATGGATTTTGCACTACTTAAGTTATGTGAGAAATGCGAATAGTAAAAATTGTGTGGTTGAAGTTTGTGCAGAGGAGGGAGAAATGAGTAGAAACACAAAATAGTTACTTTAATGGGAAAGTGTCAAATTTTTTTGGGATAACTTACATATAAAGCTTTCATGTTCCTAAAGTTAATATCACAACCAATTATACTTCAACGACCAATTCTGAATAAACTACACAAAGCTATCGAATGCACCTATTTTTTAGAGATACTAATTCCATACAAAGCTTAACGATTATCTTTTGTAATCATTATTACTAAAATACTAGGCAAGAAAAATGGAGCAACCAAAGTGAGGACCAACTCCCTACATAGAGCTGATAATAATAAAGAAAAATAATTTAATAAGCTCCAGAAATGCTGTGGAATGGATTAGTACTTTGTATAAACAGAAAGTATATATACAGAGCATAGAATACAACGAAGAATTTAAGAAATTACATGTATTACTGTGTCTAATAAAGTAATTTAATTTCAAGTGTTAAGTTTATTGTTAGTTAGCTGCTTAAGAACCAAAGGGAATAAGTTTTATGATTTATTCAGACAGGAGGACATGCTTACTAATAACAACCATCCACAGCTTTCTTTGCTCATTTCTTTACCTCTGCTCTGCAGTGGTAATAATGCATATATATGTGCTGCAAAGCCATCTCAAATGAACCTATGGGAAAAAAGGCATCTTGTCACCAAGTGTATAACTGATCATCCTTTCCGCAGCCTCATGTACAATTGAGAGCTTGAAGACGGTGAAAAGAAAGAAACTTCGATGATCGATTCTTATATGTATATCTCGATCGTGTCACGTGTGTACCATGTCATGGTTACTTTAGAGATGCTTCTTCTATGCACATTACAGATGCCAATAATATGCACATGGCCACAATGAGCCCTTAAAATAGCAGAAGGGTATAAAATCTTTATCTTCCTAAGAATGGAAAAATCATTTCCATCATCAAATCATTCCAAGAATCAATAGGCCCGGGCAAGCACCAATGCAGACAATCATTCTGAACCGCTAAAGAAGGCTGCATATGCCTGTAGATTCCAGGGTGCCCGTCCGGCCTCAACAATGAAAGATAAGTGGTGTCAAAAAGTTTCAAAGTTAACCCCTTCTCATTGGATCCTAATATGGTCAATGCTCTCTCAAATTCTTTCACTTCTATTTGGTGCATTAGCTCATCCATACCATTCATCTCAGCCTCGCCTTCCTTAAACGGCAATGTCCTGTTACAATAACCGCCAGTATTCCACTCCCCGTTCTCGAAGTGATCCGGTGTTGTGGTTCTGAACAACACATTGACATTTTCATGCTTTGACCTCAAAATGTACTCTAGGGTTGACGTCAACGCTTTGCGATACACATGGTCAAACCCTAACTCTGTAATGTTCTTCTCATTACAGCTATGGCAGCCCACAATCTCATCTTTCTCGTAGTAAATTGCCGGTTTGAGAAACCATTTCCCGCCGGCAAGAATAACGTAATCGAAACTCTTGAATTGGTCTGTCCATATTTCATCAGGTTTGTCGAGGTGGAGACGGACTATATCTGTCGAAACCCCGTCGTTGTCTTCAAATATGACGGCTTTTGTAAGGTAAGGAGACCACACCACTGAAAGGGTAAAATTGTTTGCGGGGAAATACCATCTTCTACTTTTGTATGGTTCATCGTGGTAGACCTCGTCAACTTTTACGTCCTGCAAGAAATATTTGATTATATACGAGTGCCATTGCACGCTTCCTACTTTCATAAAATTAAGAGCTACTCGTTATATGCTAATAGGAAAATGTCTTTGTACATGTCTACACGCCAATTTATACACGCCGTTGTACACATTGTGATAAAAAATTATACTTCCTCCGTTCTTAAATAAATGTAACGGTCAACATTTCACACTTGCCGAGACACAAATTTGACCATTAATATAAATGATTTTGTATTAGTAAAAAAATTTAAAAAATTAGATTATGAAAATTTACAATGAGACAAGTTTAACAATATTTTTTTCATAAAATAATATTATTACATTAATAAATAAAACGTAGTCAAAGTAGAAAATGTGAATAGTGTAAAAGTCAAAATGTTGCATTTATTTAAGAACGGAGGTAGTATATCACAAACAAAGAAGCACTTTTGTACACGTCGATTAAATTGTCTGTGTCACAGATAATTTAAATTTTCTCTCTTATAGACAAATTTTTTGTTTGTATGAAAATCGATTTTCTTTATAAAATGCCGATCAAATTGTCTGTGCAAGTACAAATGTACTTACAATTGTATTTGTAGAGCTAAAATGTACTCCATCCATTTTAGAAGTTTTTAAAGTTTCTAAAAACTTCTGGTCGTATGTTTGAAATGACAATTTTTAGGAGTTTTTTCAAAAATAAAAGATCTCTTTTGAGATGCTACAATTAGTAGAATCTGTGAAAAGTTTATAGATTTTAGCATTAATTAGTCTCAATCACTTATATAGATATATAACAAAACTAGATCAAATAATCATTTTTTATCAAATAGTTATCATTTTTTGTTTTAAGGTTTCTCCGGTTATTAAAAACTACGAGTAACAGTTGCTCCGTACTAAAAAGTTCATAAAAACATTTTTTTTCAGCTAGTTATGTCAAACATACACTATATACGCTAATACACAGTACTATGTATTATAGATTACTCATACAATCGATTTTATTCTTTATAATCTCTAATTTTATACTCCTTATATATAGGTAGTATGTAATCTTTATTACTCTGTATTTTCTAATTCGGCTTTTGCGATCAAATAAAACTTCTTGTGTAGTTCCAGAAGATGTAAACTTTAGTTATTCAAATTAATGTATATAGAAAAAATTAATGAATATATATTATCACTCATATATGTACATTGTGAGAATGAAGTTCATTCACTTCTTGAAAAAAAGTTGTGAACCGGTTGATTTTACTTGCCGAATAAAAAAAGATAATGGTGTAGATTAGGGGTGAGCATGAGATGGTACGGTTATTTCAAAAAATCGTCCCAAAGTACGGTTCTTTTAAAAATCAAAGAAACGGTACCGTTCCGAATATATATAGAACATGTCCCGTTCCGTACCAATTTTCGATATGGTTCGGTACGGTTCTTCGATACTATTTGATTCCTAAATAATATATTAACTCCTACAAAGTCAAACATATTTTAAGTTTTGCCATTAATAAGTAACTATAAAAAATTGAATAGAAGGGATCGTAAGATTAAAATCAAACATAACTGAAATACAAAATTAATAGTCAAAACTATAATAAAGAAAGGTAACATTCAACTAAAAATAGATAGTGATAGCCAAACTAAAAAACAAAAGGTATGTCTTCACATGACTAATGTAATATATAATATAATATTTGAGTAAAGCTTGGTTCTTTATAATGTCGTACGGTTTTATATATAATATGTAGTGTGTATATATATACACACACACACACATATATAAATATATATTATTATATATAGCCAATTTTTCGAGACGGTATGGGACGGTTCGGGACAATTCGGTTCAATACAATTCGGTACGGTTCTGGGACGGTTCTCACTCAAGAACCGGTACCGAACTATATTATTAAAAAAGTTCGATACGGTACGATATTATATTTTTTCGGTTTCGTTCGGTTCTGGTACGGTTTAGGATGGTTCTCGGTATGGAACGGGAAATCTCATATCCTTGCTCAGCCGTAGTGTACATGAGTACATGACTCCTATTATACTCTTATTTGCTCTTACTCCCTCGATCCCTTAAAACTTTGTCAATCTTTCCTTTTTGGGACGTTCCAAAAAACTTTGCCAAAAAACTTTGCCGCTTTCCCTTTTAATCATTTATTTTGTGGTTTCTGTTATCTCTCTCATCTGCACAAACCTCAACCCCACAGTTTTTACTTTATTATTCTTGTCGGTCAACTTTGGCAAAGTTTCAAGGGACGGAGGTAGTAGTATTTCTTTATATAAATGGGCAGTGGAACCTATCTGTCTAAAAAGAAGTCCTTAATAAGGAGTACCTCTTAATGACAGAAAAAAATCCCCAAATCTTAAAGACAAGGGACCACTCAGTGGACAAATTATTCTAATCCTACCAACTTTAGCCAGGCAACACACAACTGAGACAACTTGTATTTTTACTTTCCCAACAACATTAATTAATGGGAGAACTACCAAATAAGCTCTCGAACTTTCATAAAAAGTGCAAATAAGCTCTTTTATAGGAGGCTCTGTCCGACCGTTGCCATTTGGGATGGTTTCCGGTGGAATTTTTTGATGATATTTTTTTAGCATCTTCTTCGTTGAGTCTAGTTTAATCATACCAAATTTCAGCTAAAAATTCAATGGGGAAGACAGTCAAATGAATTTTTGAAGATAACTGCGCAGTTAGACAGGGCAGTAGATTTCAGAAAATCATTTGACTGCCTTCTCGATTGAATTTTTAGTTGAAATTTTGTATGGGTAAACTAGACTTAATGAAGAAGATGCTAAAAAAATTATCAAACAATTCCACCGGAAACCGCCCCAAATGGCGACAGCCGGACAAAGCCTCATGAAAAAGACTTATTTGCACTTTTTATGAAAGTTTGAGGGCTTATTTGATAGTTCTCCCTTAATTAATTATGCTTAAAGTAGCTGTAAAGAAGAGGAGATATCACTAGAAGAGAAGCAACGAATTATTCAGACAACACCAAACAGATACTGCCATATTGGTGTTATGAAAGTCTAACCTGCGAGAGAATGCAAAGCAGAGACTGAACATGGTTCCGCATAATCGAATCCCCAATAAAAGCCATTGATCTACTCCTCATTAGATTGAGGAACTTCCCCGGATCAAACCTGGGGAGTTCACAGTCTCTGGGTCTCCACCTCCAGTGTATATAATCCATATCAGGGCGACCATTCTTCATACAGTTCTGGTGGGTTTGTATTGAAGAGCAAGTCTGGTTAGTGTAAAATGGACCCTTAGCATCTGCAATCCAATCTCCCCTAAACAAATCACACTTTACTGCAAACAAAGATCATTTCATTCAGTGATTCAGCATTTCAGCATCATCCATCTTGAGTCCATTTACACATTCGTTAGGCAAAACCAGACAATGCAAAGTAGATAAACGAGTAGAATCAATTCTACAGAGGAGACAAAATGCGGTTTAACACTTTAACCAATAAACGTCCGGTTTTGGACAATTAACACATATGATTTCATAAATACTTAATATTTTCATAATATTTACCGCTCTTAAGACTTATGAGCAAATTGATTTGCATAAAAAAGGAGAAACTGATAACAAAATAGATGGATCACGGATCGATATGCAGTATATAGCACACAGTGAATCATGCATGGCCAGTTCGCTAACCAGTTCTAGAACTCCGGTGCTCGAGATTCGCCCGGAGCTGATTTGAAACGGACGGCGGCGACGTCTTCTGGTCAGTGGCGATCAGGAAGGGGGATAATTGCACAAACTGATGATCACTGGAGAGAAGAAAACGGGAGGCAAGTCCGAATAGCATAATACAAACTGCAAACTTGAGAATGGCAAGGAATGAGAATTGATTATCACTCACAGTGTTGTTCACCATCGTCCCCTTCATCGCCTTGCCTCTGCCCCTATTGTCACTTGGAGTAATTATATACTCCGATCAGTATAACACAATTAAATAAAATGGTAATGCATTCTTTCCGTGGTACATAAATCTCCATTATTGTGAATAGTGGGGGAAACAACATCAGAACAGCTGGAGTACTGATTGCATTAAAGAATATAATATAGTGGGGTTTGGTATATGTAGTGTATAATAGAATTATTGTACTTTACATTAAACTCTTTTATTATAAATATATCTGTCAGGGCTCTTTAGAGAGCATCATGTTCCATTATTCTCACGTGGTATCAAGAGCACACTAAAACCCTAATTTTTTTCCTTTCTCTCTCTCTACACTCGGCGCCGCCAGGCTCCCATCGCCGCCGCCGCCTCTTCCAAAAACAAATTAATACATCACCGCTGCTATGTCTTCCGACCCACATCTTCCGCAGCGTCTCCCGTGGCAACCGCCTCCGCGACATCTGCCTCGTCCGTCGCAGGAATTGCAGCGCCGACCGCCAGCGCCACAGCGCCGGTCTTCTCCTCCGGCTTCGCCTCACCCGGCCAATATTCCAGGCCTTATTCCCTGTTCCAGCATCTGCCGCCAACGTTCCCTTGGTCAGCACCAATTCCAGTGCAGCAAGTTCCCCTTGAGCCGCCCCCCTTCGCGGTTCCTTCGTTCGCTGGACCAACCTTCATTGGATCGCCGAGAATTTCTTCTGTCCGAACACGAGCAAGCGGCCACACCAATTGCATGAAGGTTGTGTGAAGGTTGTAATGAAGGCTCCCAATTGCAATTTGTTTCTGAAGTAATGAGTATCAAATCCGATTTTAATGTTCCACAAGATGAAGTCAATCGGTGGCTGGAATTATTTGGTCGATACTTACCCCGTGACAACACTGTTCCTAGAAATTATTACGAGACAAAAAAACTCGTGGCTGAATTAGGTCTTCCTGTGGTGAAGATTGATGCGTGTCCTAACGGGTGTATGTTGTTCTGAAAAAATGATAAAAAGTTGGAAGTGTGTACATTTTGTGGTGAGAAGCGTTACACATATGATGCATATCAGGATTGTCGGTCAAAAAGACAGAAACGAACTGCTATTTCAGTATTACGTTATCTACCTTTGACACCGAGGCTGCAAAGATTATATGCATCACGCCAAACTGCTGAGTCCATGATATGGCATTCTACTCATGAATCAATTGGAAATTTGATGGGTCATCCTTCTGATAGTGAGGCGTGGAAACACATTGACAATTTATATCCCGACTTTGCCTCAGATCCACGTAACGTTCGATTGGGATTGTGTTCTGATGGATTTGCTGCACACGGGCAGTATGGTGCATCGTATTCATGTTGGCCAGTTATTCTCACGACGTACAACCTTCCTCCTGGTATGTGCATGAAATCTCCATACATGTTCTTATCTCTCATTATTCCTGGTCCGATGTGTCCTAAAGTAGATGCTGTTTTTTGTATAGAAAGGCGATTTCCAGTTTGGTAAGAATAGTAGAGCATATTTGACTTTTGTTTGTATCTCAAATGAACCATGCCACATTTTTATTTTTGGTTAGCATTGTAAACACTAATACATGTTTACAATACAGAATCTGTAAATGGTGTCATTTCCTCTCCATTGACCCGCTCTCCATTTCCTCTCAATTGAATGTGTAAAACCGGTTTTAACATCAAGTTGTTTTTGATTTAATTGTTATAATTTGAACTAGTCCATTTTACACTATTCAAATGAATTTGAGTAATTGGTCTCATGTTTATAATCCTATTATTTAGTTTAACATGTCAGGACGGTCAAGCTTCAGTAGGACTACAGGAGGAAGAGGGGGCAGGGGTGGAGGTAGAGGACATGTTCCGGTGGTGCAAAATTACGATATTCCAATTATTGAAGAATATGACTCTGACGAGGGGAAAGAGATTGAAGCTGAGCAGGGTATGAACGAAAGTCGATCATTAACCCCTGAAGGACACCATGAATCAGCTGCCTCTGTATTTGGATCTTGTGGTGGTGAAGGGTCTTCCAATATAGTTCAAACACCCATATCAGTTGAAGACTTTACCAGGTAATTATTTGATATTACGCAATAAGTATTACTTCTGACTATTGTGAACAGAATATATAATTCATTAACATATTCATTTTTTTATGTTAAATGATTGTAGGAAAAAAGTTCTCAACGAGATAAAAAAGATATTAGAAGGATCTTACAGGGGACCATGGATTTGTTATGGAGATGTACCTAAGCCTTATCGCGAGTCATGGTTTAGGGAGTTTGCGGTAAACTGGAGCATATCAAATTTGTGTATAATTTATTTTTATTTGGTATTTTACTTTCAGTATAAATCTATGTTTTATGTAGCGGAACCACACATACCCCCGAGCTGAAGAATCTGAAATCCAACGTGCTTTTAACTCTAAATGTTCAGTGTGGTTGAAGGGTGTGTTTAGTGAAGCCCGAAAGAAAAAAAAGGGGTCCCATGGATATCTGCAGTAAATTGGAAGTTAATGCTAGAGGAGTGGGCATCTGAAAAGTTTAAAAAGAAGTCAGAAACAAACAAAGCAAATAGCTCTTCTGAATCATGTAGAAGCTCACATATTGTGGAGGGTCTGTTTCTCAAAAAGTTAGAGCGGAACTATTAGTAAGTTTTTCCGTTTAAGGTACTATTTATATTAAATTAGGCGGTGTGGAATGAGTTATTGATTATATATTTTTAAACAGGCTGTGCAATTGGGTAGGACACCGCTGGCTACTGAGCTTCTCAAAGACGGGTTTCAAAAAAAGGAACTAATGAATGGAGTGGTCCACGAGCTCAAGAGATTGCGGTATAATTATATTTGTACTGTTTTGCGCATTTTCAGTTTCAATACACGAGTATTTATATTTTTTGGCTTAGAATATAAGTATTGAGGAATATCATGTCATAATTACTTTTAGTGCATTATTATGTTTAGTCTGTGTATTTGATGTTTCCAGTTTACTTCCAGTTTATTTACAAGTAGTATTGCAATTACTTCCAGTTTATTTAAAGGAGAATTTGACTTTGCACCCCTTATTTTGGATGATATTTGAGTTTGCACCCTATTTTCAAAATCATTAATGTATGCACCCCAATTCACTATAAAATCATTTGACTTTGCTCCCCACTCCTTCACAATTTTTGGGCTAATAGGGTGCATACATTAATGATTTTAAAAATGGGGTGCAAACTCAAATTCTCCCTTTATTTAATGTAGTACTTATTGAAATTGTGATCTTAATTAGGAAAAAGTTGCAGCAGAGGTAGACCGTAAAAAACAAGACTCCGAAGAGGGAACAAAAGTCGATGAAAATGCAATTTTTTTGAAAGTGATATCTCCAAAAAAAGGCAAAATATTTGGGGTGGATCCCTTTACTGCAATGGCTATGTGCAATGGTTCATTAGATACCACATCGAGTAGACAGACCCAATATGTGAAGCTTGATGATTTCAATGCTTTTAAATCGTCGATAATGGATCAAATAGGACAAATGATGGTGAGGCGGGAGATGGATTCTACTCATGGGTCGAACAACCTTTCAAATCCAAATATGACACAAGGTCTTATGTCTCAGCTTCATACCTCTATGTTTCCTACGGTTCCATCCGGGATGACTCACAATTTGCACGCACAACAGGCCCCTTATTACCCAACAATGTACCCGAATGGCTACATGTCCGGACAGCAATCTGTGCCACTTCATCCCTCTATGCCTTCTCAAGTGCCATTTGAATTCATTCCTCTACAAAACCGTAATAGCACAACTCTGGATGACACATTTCTGAGCACTATATTTGCTGCAAATGAGAGAGGAAATGAAGGAGGCCAATGAAGAAGTTATTGGAATTTGAGTTTTTGGTGGTGTTGTGTAATGAACAATTTCCTTTAATTTGTCAAACTTCTGTTTTATGTTGTTTGTTTGTGTTTTAACTATCCAGAATACTACTTTTTTATGCCATGTTTTGAGATTGTGTTCTATATTGTGTAGTTTTGTTGGTGGTGATTTTCTACAATGTTACAATACTAGCTAGCACTCAATTATAAATAAAAAGAAAAAAATTAACATCTAGTGATATGTTAGTACATTCATTCAGAATATGTAATTTAAATCCAATTAATTATTATGTTGAAACTAGCTAATTTTTATTAACTTTCCAACCGATTAAACGGTTGGAAACTCGTCGGTCGCCGGTGAGCTTGAAATGAAAGTTTCCTACGAACTCATCCGTTGGAACTTTCCTACAGATTTATCCATTGGAATTCCGCTGGAACGTTTTAAAATCCGTTGGAAATGGTGGTTGGAAAATTTTCCAACCATTGTATTCCCACGGCCAATTTCTGTCGGTACTTCGTTGGAAATATCATTTCCAACGTCTTTTTCGCTAAAATCCGTTGGAAAGTTCGTCGGTATTACACCTTTTTTTTTGTAGTGCAAGCTTCTAGTAGTCGAAGATTACACTACGTGGCGGACACAGTTTGAGTCATTCTTAGTCTCATAGGGTCTCCTTGGCATGGTTGATGGCTCAATTCAGGTACTTACTGCTTATTCCATAGATGTTCTTAACCGTCAATTTCCCAATCCCGAATTTTCTACTTGGCTGCGCATTGACCAAACCATTCGTTCCTGGTTATTTGTCACTCTTTCTCGTGATGTTCTTATTGATGTTCGTGATTTAAAACATTCATGTGAAATTTGGGAACGGTTAGAATCTCGATTTATGTCAGTCAGTTTGGCCAGATCTATGGAATTAAAGCGATTATTTTCTCAAATTAAAAAGAAACCTGATCAGTCAATGGATGATTATCTAAGGGAAATTAAAATTTTGGTTGACGATCTTGCTATTATTAATTGCCCTGTTCCTCCTCGCGAAGTGCTCAAAACTACTATTATGAGTCTGGGTTATGAGTATGAATCTATGTTCACTACTGTCTCGCTATTTCCCGACAATTTTCCGTTTGAGAAACTTCGCATTCATCTCCTCGAACAAGAGCAGCGGGTTCTTTATCTTCGCTCCCAGGGCAATTCCTCCATCCATCAGGCTTTCAGTGCCACGACGTCTTCTCCCGGGCAGTCTACCAATTCGCAGCCGAGCCACCAGGTGCAAGGCTCTCATCCGT